CATTCATCACCACTGGCCAGGATTTCCAACGGCTTCTGTTCTGTCCCACCCTCCTTTTTTTTCTGGAGAGATAAAGCAGTCAGTAGGGAACTGCAGCCAGCTCCCACAAAGCCGTTCACCAGCAGTCACGGGGCCCTTTCTTGTTCTTTGGCTATACAGTCAATGTCCCACCCACGGCTGACCCCTCCACTTGTACAGCAGATTCTGCCCTGCTCACAACTCAAGGACACTGCTCTAACAAGTCTTCCTCTCAGCACAAATCATCCCCAGCAGCATACAGATAAGCTATAAAACCCACCATATCTATGAAAACACACCTGTCAATCCTGCGTCCATCTCCACTTAGCACCTCATTTCTCAGCTCTCCTTTAGAGCAAAACTCTTCAAAAAAATTAATGTATTGCTCGTACTTACTGTCTTCAGTTCCTCTCTTCCCATTCTTTAAAAACCATTCCAAACAGGCTTCCATCCGTACTCCTCACTGAAAACACTATTAAATTCAAGTGCTCAGTCCTCATGTGACTTGACCTCATGACATGGCTATTTCCTCTTCTCCCGGAAACACTTTCAGTGTGGTGGCTCCAAGATGCTACCATCTCTGGGTTTTTGCCTTCCTCTCTGGTGCACCTTTTCTAGCCTTTTGCTATTTCTCTGGGTCCTCCCTGATCTCCGGAATGGGGGAGTCTCCCAGACTCAGTCTCCTCATCTTCACTCACTCTCTTGGTAACCTATCTCATCCAGTCCCATGGCTTTAAACCCATCTAGATGCTAATGATGCCCACTTGGCTATCTAGACAAATGTCTCTAACCTGCCTGTCTCCCTTGAACTCCAGACACATACAGTGCATTTCAAAGGTGACATGTTTCAAATGGAACCTCTCTTCTCTCCTGTACTTTGAAGTGCGGAGAGGGAGAGAGAGGAAGAGAGAGGGAGGGAGGCAGAGAGAGAGAGAAAAACATTGATGTGAGAGCAGAACATGGATCAGCAGCCTCCTGCATGCCTCCTACCAGGGATCGAGCCCACAACCAGGGCATGTATCCTGACTGGGAATCCAACCAGCACCCTTTCAGTGCCCAGGATGACACCCAATCAGCTGAGCCCCACTGGCCAGGGCCTTAGAGCCATTCTTGACTCCCCCGTCTCTCTCCCTCCACATATAAACCCTGGGCAAATCCCACTGGCTCTATCCAATCCATCCAGTTTTCATCCTTCTGCTAACACCCTAGTTCAAGTCACCATCATTTCTCATTTCTCACCTAGACCACTGCTGCCACTTTTTAACTCGACTCATTTCCACACTTGCCCTGTTACACAGTCTTCTCAGAAACCTAAATGACCAGCCATTTCCCTCAAAGAATGTGACAATATAAAGACCTTTCTGGTCTTTACAGCAGACAAAAAGGCTCACGTGTATGCAGCCCTATCCTCCATTGTGTGTCAAACCTCCTCTCCAAGTATACTCTCCTTTGCTTGCTGTTCCAGTCACACTGGGTTCCTCAGTGCCCCAAGCCCACTCCCACGTCTGAAACTTTGTACTGGTCATTCCCTCTGCTTGGCATGTCCTTTCCTTAGGCATCCACATGGTTCACTTCTTGAACCCATCACGTCTTTGTTCTATCACCTTCTCTATGAGGTCTACCCTGATCACCCTAGATGTACCCCCCATTCTAGACCCCTCCTTACCATGCTATAGTTTTGATTAAATAGCATTAATCATCTCTAACATACTATATCTCATGGATCTGTCATTTTCAGTATTTGTCTTCCCTCATTTGAATTTAATCTCCACTGGAAGTGGGGTTTTTGTCTGTTTATTATGTCACGTATCCCTGGCATCTGCAACACCACCAGGCACAGGGCAGGAATCCGTAAATACTTGCTGCATGAACAAATGAAGAAGGGAAGAGTGAATTGAACAACAGGAAGGAGAGTGCTGTGACTCAAGGGAAGTTGAGCCTCTGTTTAAAATGTCAAACTCTCAGAACAACTAATGACTGGATACACCACTTAAATGTTTGAAATGTTTAAAAATGAGCTTCTTCCAAATATTTATTCTCCATTTCAGCAAACAGCCCCACAACCCACCTCGCTGCACAAACCTGAACTATAACCCTCCCATATCCAATCCATCCAGAATTCCCATGAACTTTAATGTAAAAATTCAGGTCCAATCCATCCACCTCTCTGTCTCCTCTACTAGGACTCTAATCCAAGCCATCACAGTTTCACCTGTCCTATTTTGATGGCCTCCGATCTGTTCTTTTCTTTTCTGGCTTTCTTTAATCTATTTCCTAAAGAGCAGCAAACTGCTCTTTAAAATGCAAACTGGGTCAGAATGCTCCTCTGCCTAACACCTCAACTTTTCACAGGGCTTGGTCTGCGAGTGAGGTGGCCCTGGTGATACCTCAGCTCCATCTGTGCCGCTCTGCTCCTTGCTCATTATGCTTCATCCACAAAGGCCTGCTTTCAGGTCCTCCAACATGTCCTGTTCCTTGCTGCCCCAGGGTCTTTGCACATGCTGTTCTTACTTCCCTCCACTCTTCATCCTTTAGACCTCAGTAAAAAAATGCCTCCTGTTTAAAGTGGTTCCCCCCTTACTCTGTACCTCACTGTTTCTTTCGTAATTTCTACATGTGCTTGCTTGGTCTTTGGATCTCCCCACTACAATATTAGCTCCAGGAGGGTGGGAGCCACAATAGCAAGTGTAAAGGGGAGGGGGGATGCCTCACTGGAGACGTCTGAGAAGCACTAGCTGTATGCAGGGCTCTCGGCTCTAAGAGCTGTCATTCTAACACTCATCTCCCTCCAGATGGAGCACCTGTATGAGTTCAAAAGGAACTAGAGACAAGATTTCACTGACAAACTGCATTAATTCCAACTGCTATGGACCAAACTGTACTTCCCCAAAATTCATATGTGAAAGCCCTAACCCCAATTCGATGGCATCTGGAGGTAGGACCTCTGGGAGATAATTAAGTTTAGATGAACTCTCGTGGGAGGTGACCCTAAGATGGGATTAGTGCCCTTATGAAGAGAAGAACCACCACCAGATGCTCTCTCTGCCCTGTGAGGATGGGGCAAGAAGGTAGCTGTCTGAAAGCCAGGAAAAGAGCCCTCACCAGCACCTTGATCTCAGGACGCCTAGCTTCCAGAATTGAGAATTTTTGTTGTTTAAACAAACCAGTCTATGGTATTTTGTTATGGCAGCCTGACCTGACCACCAACCAAAATGAGAATGCTCTGCTCACAGTTTAATGGAATAGACAGATAGAAAGACACCCTGCGCAGCAGCATGTCTACCAAGACTCCCAACCCAAACAGCTCTACTGTTGAAGAGTAAACACTGTTAAAGCTACTGCTTTAAATACTCATTGCCTGTAAACACTCAAATGCTAGAGGAAAACTTCACAGCTGGCACCAAAGGTGGTGGGTAAGCACCCTCCCTCCACCTATCCACCTCCAGGCAATAAAATGGGTGACTCAGGCCCACCTAACTATCAACACTGTGCTTTGTTTAGGAAGACTCGCTGCTGTTTCAGTTAGGGAGTTCTGGCTGGGACTCATGACAGCATACAGAAACATTTCCTCGGGCATCTTCCCATGGGATTCCTGCCTAAATGAGAATCTCAGGGGCTCTTTAAACTACTGTTTGCTTGCTTTGTTAAAGCAGACATTTCTAAAAGGTGAGTTTTCCTCTCTAAAGCTAGGCTCTAATTGTAGATTAGAGCAATACAGCAACTAGATTCTTTGAGATACTTTGTTAGCAAATTAAACATGCTGGAGCTTATGTGATTTATAAAAGGGGACAGTCTAACACTGTATTTTTAAAAATTCGGATTTTCTGTAGAATCTGAATCACCAAGTCAGCTATTTCTCTAATACTTTCTACCTTGGAAATTTCAAAACACAGTCTTAAAAACAGTGGTTTAAAAAAAATCCATGGGGAAAAAGAAAAGAAAGAAGGAAAAAAACACCCATTTACATCTTATAGGGAGAAATAAGGGGAAATAAGCAAAGTGGTTGGCAACAAGTCAGGCAGGTCCCAACATCAGAGTTCCCCGTTATACTCCAAGGTTCACAGTGACAAGGACAACTGGGTATTGTGCCAAGAAGCAAAACTCATGCCTCCTCACTCTCAGTTCAGGGCCCTTTCTAATACACCAGGGTGCCTCCCGTTTAATAATCAAAGTAGTCAATCAAGATTGAAATAAGTAGGAATCTGCACAAGAAAAACCCAAGTCACCTTAGTCCTGGAGTGAATTCCAACCTTGAAAAGCCAAATGAATGTTTGGGAAAAGCCTGCCAACAAGTCTAACAGAGTACTTCATCTTCAGTGGACTCTCTCTATCACATCAGCCCCTCAAATCTTGTCACTGTGCCTTTTCAAACTGTCTTGCCTCATGAGGGCAAAAACCATTGTTTTTATTTTCCCACCCAAGAAAGTTTAGGTCAAAAAAGGAGAAAACAGTCTCGCTTCTTTCTGCCAGAATTCTGGCACCATGGGGTGTGCGGGAATGCACCTACTGCGGCATCTTCCCACATGCCTGAGTTGTTTGGCATAACCAGCAGGGGCATGTTCCATACACTCCCCAAATGCCTGAGCTGGCAACAACAAAGATCCTCAGAGACCATAGCCCTGGGACAATGGCTGCTGTCAGTCAACTACAGTTCTCATGACTCTGTTTCTGCTTTTACCGCAACTTCATACCAAAGAGCACATTCCACCTGCACAAGTACTTCAGGAAACCACGCACATGAATTCACACAGCAGTACACAGCAATTTAGACAGGGCTCCGATACTAATGGAAAAGTATAAATTTTTAAAAATTCAAAGACCTCACATGAGCATATTACTCTTAGCGTTTACACAGCATACCTGACAAAGAACCCGAGGCCCCAAGGACCTGTCCTTGAGACCAACGTCAAAAAGGATTATGTAGTTACCATGCAAAGGGAGCTACCTGGTAAGAAGGCAAAGATGAGTGTTTTATCTCTTACCTGAAGCCAGAGGCCGGATCCACTCTTTGCTATTCAGGTCAAGTCTCCAGAGGTCATTGAAGGCAGCATTGCAGCTGCTTTGCGTGCAGCCTCCAAACACATACATGGACTGATTAGCATCGTAATAGCACGCGCCTAGGAAGAAAAAGCAATCAATAAGGAACTGATGTTGAATTCTGAGGCCCCTCAAACGCCTCGATTACAGCTCACATCTCCCAAAGACCAGTGATTTCACACACTTCCCCACCCTTTACCAGGTACCAACATTCCATAACCAGCCTGTTGTCTGTAGGTTGGTCAGTATCATACTAACCTTTAAAATAAGGCCCAGAGAAAAGCAAGGAAGATGTCATTTCTGAGCACACTAAGCAAGGTGATAGTGATGTCACTAAATAAGATAGTACACGTTTAGCAAGAGCACATAGCATTCAGATTAAGCACTCAATGAGTGAAATTTCACACAGCTGCATAATCTACCTAAGTGCATCATCCTCTAGAGGAGGGAAAGACAGTCAGTGCTAACACATGTACTGCCCTCCCACTTCTCTCCTGCAGTCCTCCTCTCATTGTTTTTGTTTTCAAATGAAACCCAAAGCAAAAACCAACAAACAGATCTTTATGTGAAGGAGGACAGGACATTTTAATCAATGCCATGAAGCAATCACACACAGAGACCAAGGTCGCTCTGGGAGCTCAGAAATAGTGAGGCCCCAGAGCAACAGAGAAAAAACAATTAAAGTCATTAAACTCCTGGGTACAACCAGAAGCCACCAAGGCAGGTAGTTGGTGCTGAACAGAAAACCAGGGCAGTAACGTTTGATAGCACTGGCCCCTGAGAAGAGCCTTTTTAATTAGTTGACTGTTTACATCTCACTAATGGGCATCATTCTGAAGAAAAGAGGCAATGGTTACGAAAGGTGCTGTTCCTTTAAAACCAGGGAGAGCAGGGCCAGAGTCTAGAGGAGAGGCATGAGAGCTGGGCTCTGCCACCCTGCTCTCAACGAAAGCTCGTTTAGTCTCTATCCCTCGGAAAAGATGATCCCACTCCTCACATGCCCGCATTCAGCACCCTGGATCTCAGGAAGAAGGCCAGCAAGACCTCCCTTTCTATTCATTTCATGCACGCCAGTGGGAAACAGGTGTTCCTGTGCACCTAGGCTTAACAGTCAAGAGTCACATAAAAGGAAGGGGAAAGGGAAAAGAAATTCAGAGGTTCAACCCACTGGTTCAGGGCTTCAGCGATCATTAGCTTATCTATAGGTCCAGTTCGATTTAGCACGGCACTGTTCTCAAGATGTTTCTGAACTCTGGCGCCACGTATTCAAGTTCAGAAAAAGGGAAATGCCACTGCTATAATTACCTCTGCAATACACCCCAGCTCTGGGAACAACCCTCCCTTTTCTTTTCTTGACCTAGCCCACCCAATCGGCCCTTTAAGGAATCTCTACATGAGGAAGGCCATGCCAGAAAACTGGATGAGTTTAGAGCCAATAAAAGCAGTGTGCTTAGTCCCCTGCACCCAGAAATCTCAACAAGTGGAAGAAGCACATCCAATCATCAGACCTCTGACTGCAAAATGGAACCGCACACTCCAAATTAATAAAGAACTTACAGAGACTAAGATGTGAAGAAATGAAATGCCATCTACTCATCAATGAGCTCAAACCTGCAAAATAGTTACTCTACTCCCAGAACTCAAACACACTACAATGGTGTATGAAGGTTTACGAGACCTTCACTCTTTCACTGACTGTCTCTGCCTCTGAAAACAGCTTTTACCTACCTCTAAATCATGTTTTAATCCACATCCTGGCAACAAAGTCTATTAAGAAGTAAAACCTTATGAAATTACATTGCTCCTGTCTCAGGCTTCTTAAAAACTACAAATAACGACAGATCAAATTAGATGACATTAGACAAACAAAAAGAGTAATTACTGAAGCCACATTTTAATCTCCACTAAGAAGCGAAGCTTTTTGGTCTTCTTGCACCTTTCCTGAACTAGCTATTGCAGCAAATGGGAAAATTTTGACCCGAACCCCCACTGGTGCCAGCATCAAAGGGCCTTCTTTTCCTCGACAACGGTTACCTCCAGGACAGAAATGAGCAAGGTCCTATGGCTTCGGGAGCCCTAATCTGTGTCCAGTATAACAATGTTTAGTAAAACAAATGCATGATTTCATAACTGAGAGTCAGCATTCACTTATGTCCCACCACTCCTCAAGGATCAACACTTAGCAGTGGCTCCCTTTGTGCAGCAAAAGCGCTCAGGGCCCTTATTTATCCAGGAGGTAGCAAACATCCTGCTCTATTTGGATCGAAAGCCCAGCCGGCAGCTGGGCCCCGTGAGGCTCTGAGCCACGTGTGTTTTAACCCTATACTAAAAGAAGGCGATTGCTGTTTTCCTGCCTCTCCTTGAGCCAACAAAGGCTTCTGGAGGAGGAAGGCACAGCTCAAACTACGCAAATATAGCAGGGCCAAAACGACAAGTTTCACACACTATTTTCAACGTCCAGCAGCCAATTATCAACAAAGCTTGGAGAGGAAGGGAGTCAATCCAGGCATCTAAGTTTAGAACTCAGATATAATGGAATGAGAAAATGGACATCGATAATACACTCAAATACTTTAGGCATCCGAGTGAACTTTGTTTATTGTCTATTTTTATTTAAGACACCTCCTACATATTGGTCTGGGTGGGGGTGGGGGAACCAGACAAGTTCAATGGGTCTTTTAGAAAAAATTAAGAATTTAAGCAAATACCAGTGTTCAAGTAGTCATTTCCCCTTTACCAAAGTTCCTTCCAGAACATCTAGACCATTGGAATGTGCCATACAAGTTACAGTTCACAGCACAGGAGGATGACTCTGCTAAGAAATAACATTAAGATGTTTATTCCAATTGCTAAATGTCTTCAGCCTTCGGGAATGTGTTTGATTGCTCCACAAACAATTACTGCAAAACTTACACTTCAGTTAGTATCTAATAATCCCTATTCAAAGGCAAGTGAAACATTCACCACCACACACGCAGCAAGAAGGGTACCTCAGCACTCCAATGCTTCCCTCCCCCCGAAGTGCAAGGCCTCCCAGTTGTCTCCCTTTGTCCATGTTGCATGATTGTCACTCAGTTGTGCACACCCAAATTTTTGCACTTTCAGATGCTGAATTGTTTCCCCACTTGTCTCTAGGGAAAGGTTCCGAGGCATTTATCCCATGCTTATAGAGACTGTGCTGTCGTGTGTCTCACCTCTACAAGCCAGGACATAGTTGATAAGCCTGTAATTACACATCTATGGAACAAGCAAGGTTGGATTCCCAGTCTGGGCCTGCTGGCAACTGCAGGAACACAATTAGCATGTGTGCAGAATGACCTGACCATATTTGGAGCCTAAACATGAACACTTTTTTCAAGGCACGATGCTGGGGACTCAACAGGCCTCAACATCAATCTGAAAAGGAACCCTTACAACCTGAAAGGGGCCCCCTACAATCTGAAAGGGACCTCTGACATGCATCAAGCCTTGCGTGAATCGTCATGAACTCACCAAAAAACCAGGAGAACTGGCTTTATTTTACTTCCCCTGCCTTTTTTGTCCCAGACTTTTTGTTTTGTTTATACTTTGGAGAGAAGCTGTTCTGCTCATCTTTGTTACATTTAACTCCACAGAATTTAATCAGTTATCAATGATGAACCAGGTGTTGTGAAAGGTGCACAGATGTCTCAAGACACTGTCTGTCCTCAAGTGGACACAGATCTGTGGCGGAGCATCATCATCATCATTCGATCACTTTGTTTCTTCAATGCAATTTCCTAGCAACCCTGGGCACAGAATCTGTCATATACATTTTATAGATGAAGACAGTGTGGGTTAGAGAAGCCAAGGAACTTGCTCCCCAAGTCTGAAGTTCTGCATGCAGTCTCTTGCACACAGGTCACTATGGTGAGAGATAGGCGGTTACAAGCAACAGAAGGAAGGGACGAAGAGCCTATCACAGGAGCGCAGCGGAGGGAGAAAGAGCTTCATCTCCACGGTGGGGAACTGAGAGCAGTGTTTGAAGAAGGTGGCATTGGCTTTGCTTCTAAGATGGGTTAGAGGACAGGACATTTTCAGTCATTCAGTGAGGGGCAAACAAGTCTAGGGACAGAGGGGATGGAGGGAAAGGGAGAATGAAACCCAGGCATCCAAGAAAAGCCATGAGGTGGGAGTTTAGAACAGGAGTCCTGTGCGGGTGGTCTGGCTGTGAGGATGCAGCCGCAATGAGTGAGGCTGGAAAGCTGAGCTGGGCCCTGAACACCAGGTGCCGTGGAAACTTCTCTGCCAAGTGCAGAAAGGCTGGGGCTTTGTGGCCGAGGTATGACAAGGCTGGTTTTGTTTTAGATCTGCAGTGTTTCCCGAGAGGACCTGGTCACGTTGGGCAGGCCAATTCTGTGTGTGTAGGGCACACCAGTTACTGCAGGACATATAGCATCCCTGGGCTAAACGCTTGCGTGCTTTCCAGCAGAGACAATAAACAGTGACTTCACACATTTCCAAGTGCTCTAGGAGGTGGCACTGTCCCCAGTTTTAGAGATGACTGCCAACAGTGTCTAGTGCAGGTTCAAGTGAAGAGAGGAAAGGCAAGAAGACTATTTAGAAAGACTGAGGAAAGACGAAATGATTAGGCCATAGGGGTAATGGGGAAACGAAGGAGGTAGATGAGACTGCTGAGGCAGGACAAAGCAGCAGGATCGGACTCGCTACTAGGGGAAGAGAGGAACCGAGGACAAGTCCAAGGTTTCCAGCCTGTATAACTGAACGCACGGTAACGCCATTAACTAAGCCAGGGAAAGGAGGCGGTTTGGAGGTGCCACTGAGGTCTGCTTTCAGCTGACCAAACATGAAACACTGTGTCTCTGTGGCCCTGGGAGAAAAGAACTGTAACTGTGGATCTCAACACAAGCTGGGAATAAGAAATAAAGCTGAGCTCCCCGGATAAATACAGGGTTGAAAGAGGCAGAAACTAAGTTAAGAAGGGAAAGAAATTCCTTGCTCCAGCGTATTTTGAAAACTGCTGTTTCTCTGTGGTAGTCTTCTTTACCTGGCCAGTTAGACAACATGTAGAGACAGATGATGGAAAGAAGCATGAGACCAAGAGACAATAAGACACAGAGGCACCTCTTAAAAAAACCTATGGCACCTTTTCTCGGGTTTCAAGCAAAGATATGAAAAATTTTTAAGTAAAAACAAGGATCAAAACCCACCCATCTCTGCAGTTGTGGGAACTTATTCACTGCACTATTCCTTTCCACTCCCCCTTCAAACGCCTGCCTCGATGCTGCAATGCTTTTCCAAAAGCTAGTTAACCAGGAGAAGTTCCTCCCCTCTCATCAGAAAGCTAAACTGTTGCTATGATAACTACTCACCTCTGAATATTCCCTACTCCAGTTTTTATTTTACCCAGATTCACTCTATTTCCCTTACAGTTCTAAAACCCTCGGACCCTCCCGTCATTTCACTAAATACTCTCAGCAAGGATTTGTTCCACAGTCTACCGCCATGACCGTCAAGAGTGTGGTCTGTAGGCTCCTGAAAACATTCAAGACCCTTTCAAAGGTATTTTAACAATAATAATAATAATGATAAGTCGGAGGAGGAGGGGAGGAAGTGGTTAACCACCCTGTTCACTGTGCTGAGGTTTGCACTAACTGCAGACACAGAACCAGGTAGAACTGTACGGCCTGTGCAGGATCAAGGCAGGATGCTCCAGGATCCCAGGGATGGTGTCTTCACTGCCATGTACTGACAGTTTAACAAACAAAGCCAGTTCTGACTCCATAGATCCCCAAAGGGTCTCACACAGGACTCCCTTCCCAGAGGTCCAGGAACCACACTGTGAGATCCACTGCTCTGGGGTTTACAACCGTACAGCAAAAACAGGTTCTTGAGAGAACTAAAAACAGCAATAGCAAATGTTCCTTGACCTATTTAGAAAGTTATAGTTATTTACTGAACTATCTTCTGCATGCAGCGGCTAACACATGATCTGGGACAGCCAGCCTCCAAGATGACCCCGTGATCCTCAACTCCTAGTACTTACACCTTTGGTCAATCTCTGGGTGACCAACAGAAGACAGCAGAAAAGATGGTCTTCACCTCAGAGACGAGGTTGTAAAGGATACCATGGCTTCTGTCTTGGTGTCTGTCTCTCTCTCAGGTCACTTATTCTGGGGGAAGCTAGCTGCCACATTGTGAGCAGCTCTATGAAACAGTTAGTAAGGATCTCCTCCTGTCAACAGATACCTGAGTGAGCCTGTAAGCAGATCCCCCGGCCTGTCAAGCCTTTAGGTGACAATCACTCTGGCTGTCTGACTGCCTCCTCCTAAGAGACCCTGAGCCAGGACTCCTGGTTAAGCCACTCCCAACTTCCTGACCCTCAGGAACTCTGTCAGGTAATAAATGTTGTCTTAAACTGCTAAGTTTTGGGGTATTTTCTTATGCAACATGGATAAGCAGCAATATATTCTCCTTCCCCTCAAGAGTTCAAAATATAGTTTAAAAAAAAAAAGACACAAATATCTAAGCTAACAATGAAAGACACTATGAGTTAAGCGCCAAATTAGAATTTCAGGCCACAACATAAGCTCAAACAGAAAAATATCATCTATGGGTTGGGGAGTTGAGAAAAGGCTTCATGAAGGAGCTAGACTTCAACTGAGTCTTCAAGGAAGCAAGCTTCTTTGCCAAGTGGATGGGAATACTCCAGGGACGACAGGATGAGAATGGCCAAGTGATAGCCTGGCAGAGGAGAGCTCTTGGGAAAAACTGGGAGATGAAGTGGTACATGTAGACACAGGTTAAATTAAAAAGGGCTTTGAATATAGACTAAGTTTACCTTCTACAGAGGCAACGGGAGGCACTGAAGGTTTTGAAGAGGAAATAGTGCAATAAAAACAGTAATGATGAGAACTTTCTAAAGGCCTCCTCCCCCCAGTGAGCTCTCTTTCTGCAGAACCATTAATAAACACACCTTTACTGGCCTCAGATACATCACATCGCAATTTCACTTTGATGGAGGGATATGAATCACAACAGAATGAAAATGTGTCTACAAAAATCAACTAAAATGGAGAGTTAATTCTAGAATAATTTTAAAGCTCTAAATTACATCTATTTGCCAGGACACTGTATTTACAATTTCACTACTTAAATTTGTATTTTATAATTGGTAACCTTCAAATTCAAAAATTTTGTGTGACCCTGGTCAAAGTGTTTGCTGAATACATACTATGTTAAAATAAAGAGTTATTGTAAAACTTAGGCTAACGCTGGCTACTTCCTGAGCAAAACCTCAGAAATACTCTCATGTACATTGTTCCCGTGTTTTTCTTAGGTGATGTCAGGTGTTTCCAAGTCTAAGCATAACAGCCTGGCCTCTCTGGAGTAGAGATACTACAAAAATTCAGTGAAAAGCAGAAGATAAAATTACACCAAAGTGCCTACAATGTATTTAGGATCATGCTCCTCCCTAATTCTGACTGTAAAATTAATATAAATCCTCATTTTCCATTCCTTTCATTAGAGTCAGACAAACCGCAGGCCTTGGGAGTAGTGCTGGAAACACAGCAGGGTGGGATCTGCTTTTACAGTGAATACTTACTGTGTGAGAACCGCTGGGTGATCGGGGTTCCAGGATACGGGTAAGTCCGGCTCTCCCACTGAATATTTCCTTCCTGAACAGCCTTTATGAAACCATGATAACACTGGTGGGCTACACCTAAAGACAAAAGGAACCAACGCCTCAGTCTAGACACTTCACTTGTAAATCAAATGATTAAAACTGCCTCTATTTAAGTGTCTTACCACTTTTATAAGACATAAGTTTCTTTGAGGAACTCCAAATTTCTTTCATTTTTCATTCAAAGAAAAATGCCCTGGTCGGGTAACTCAGTGGGTTAGAGCATCATCCCAATACATCAAGGTTGTGGGTTCGATCCCCGGTCAGGGCACATACAAGAGTCAATCAATAAATGAATAAATAATGGAACAACAAATCAATTCTCTCTCTCTCTCTCTCTCTCATCAGTCAATAGCCCTGGTCCGTGTGGCTTAGCTGGTTGCGTGTCGCCCCCTGCACTGAGAGCCTGCTGGTGTGATTCCTGGTCAGGACACGGGCCCAGGGTGGGGCCTGATCCCTGGCTGAGGTGCATGGGTCAGGATTAAATACATAAATAAAGACCAAAGCGACATGAAGGTCAAATAACGCCCAAGAATAAACTCATACATGTGATAAGATCACTGCCCCTCCTCTATGATCCTTCCATTCCGTTTAAGAGGGGAAACCGTCTGCTTCCACATAGCAGGGAGCCCTCTCCCCTGAAGAGTGCACGACCTCTGCCAAGAGAAGCAGGCTGTGCATTACAACCAGCACCACCAACTACACACAGGCGAGTGCAGGACCCAGCGAGCAGTGTCAACACAGCTGGTCCTCAGGCCTCTGGGGTGGACTTGGGTAACTGACAAGAACCACATTCCCCAGAGCACCACCCTGACGCAAGGAGATGTTAAGATTGATTCTTATCTAAAGGTTTTTCTCTTTCATATTTCTGGCCACCTTATTCCCACCAAGAAAGAAAACATTGATACAACTCTTGCTTTCATCAAAGATTATTCGACTGGCCTGATCATCTTCACTCAAAAAAAAAAAAAAATAACTGCTATCTACCAATTGAGAATAAAGCACAGCTAGTCATCTCCACATTGAACTGAAGTTGAAATCTTGATTAGCAAATGGAGGGAAAAAAGGGAGAAACTCATTTTAAAAAGTAAGACACCCATAAGGACCGTGCTGTTTAGAGATAAAATCAAGGGATAAGTGCTTTCACAAGTCCATACCTGCCACAAGTAGCCCCTTTAGGAGTCAATCTGGTAACCCCACAAAGTGCTGTGCACCACTGATCCTCCCTTCATTGCCTGTGTCACAGTGGGTACACTCCATACCTGGGCCAATGTGGTTTCCTATCTATCACAGCTTGCTGAGGACCGTGAAGCAGTTACAACAGTGCCCGACAGCAGTCAGAGCTGTACTGATGTTCACTATCGCTGTTACCCCACACCCCTCCCTAGTTTGCCTATAAGAACAATACAATTTACAGATCGACTCGAGGGATATGCAGAAAAGAATCCTTGTTTTAAAACTTCAAACTGCTCATAAAACCATCCAGAATAAAGAGAAAGGAAAATGTACAATGTCAGCTAACACTAAAGTTTAGAGCCACAGCAAACTTAAGGAAAAAAAGAGAAAATAGCCCTGGCCGGGTGCCTCAGTGGGTTGGAATATCCTCCTGAACACCAAGATTGCAGGTTCGATCCCTATGGGGTGCACATGGAGGTAACCGATTGATGTTTCTCTCTCATATTGATGTTTCTCCCCCCTCCCTCCCTCCTTCCCTTTCTCTCTAAAATCAATTAAAATGAAAAGGAAACAAGAGAGAAAATAAAATTGGAAGTTTAAAAAGAAATCCTTCACAAAATTTTAAAATAAATACATGAACCTTTCCACTGTCCCCAGTACCTTTGATAAGCCGGTACCACTGCTTGCAGACAAGGGCTGCAGTTTTGTGTTCCTGGTACGGTGACAAAAAGGACAGGATGTACTCCAAAACCTCTTCCGGCAGCTCAAACATGGACCTATTATGTCTAGTCTCCTCAGCCTCCAACACTGGTCGGGGCTCCTCATCGTGCTCCATTGTCCCTTCCAGCACAGTTTCTTCTTGGTCCACTGCCATGAAACTGTCATCTTCACTGTCCGAGGAGCTGGCCATGACATTCCACTTGACAGCTATTGTGGGAAAGAAGCAAGCATCAGTATACACTGAAACAGCACAGGACGCGCACCTGAGGTGTTCAGGCTTTGTCTGAGACCCTCACTATGAACTCTGTTCTCTAGCACTTTCCTACACGAGTCGTGAGCCACCTTAATTTGACAGTTACAGCTCAAGTACCAAGCCCATCCCAAACATCTAACAATCCCTAGAGGCTTCTGACTGTAATTTTTCTCCCCACTGAAAGCAGATTCTCTAACAATTTCCGGGACTCAAGGATCTGACTGGAAGACAGCAAAGGGAGTAAAAATTAGCCTACCTCAGCTACAGAGAAAACTGAACTGTGAAGGAAAAACAAACTGTGGGTGCTACGAAGAGTAATGCGAATATTGTGAGGATGTGATTTTAGGTGTAACAGTTTTTCAAGCTTTTACACAAGGCAATTCACTCAAGAGGATAATAAATGTGCCAACAGGCCTGCCTGGCCGGGCATGGTTCAGCGGTTGAGCGTCGACCTAGGATCCAGGCGATCGGGGTTCGATTCCTGGTCAGGACACATGCCCGGGTTGTGGGCTTGATCCCCAGTCAGGGGCATGCAAGGGGGAGCCGATCAATGACTCTCTCTCATCATTGATGTTTCTCTCTCTCTCCCTCTCCTTTCCTCTCTCTGAAATCAATAAAGATATATTAAAAAATAAATAAATAAAAAATAGGCCTAACTAGCTAAAATACCAAACACAAGACAATATTTATACCAGAAAACATCATAACAGATCCAGGAAGTAAAAAATCGGAAAGAATGCACATGGCCCTCAACAAGAAAACAGATAAGCCGTGGTGTGTCCACGCCGTGGAATACTACACAACAAGGAGCCACAGACACACACAATTGAGTTTCTCAACATAATACCAGGCAAAAGAAATCAGAAGAGTACATACTACATGACCATGCTCATATCATATTCAGAACTAGACAATACTGATTTATGTTGTTGCAAGTGAGGAGAATGGTCACCTGGTAACCACTGGGAGGCTCCTGGGTGCTGGTCAAGTTGTTTCCCGATGGGGTGATGGTTACACAGATGAGTTCAGCTTGTGAAAAATCCATCAAGCTGAACACGTAATGCTTAATGCACGTCTCTAAAGTTTACAAAATAAGCTATGATCAGGTTACCTCTAGTGGAGGTCATTAATTTTTAAAAATTATGATTGGTGATTTTAAAATTTCTTCTTTGTGCTATGTGTGTTCCCTAAATTTTCTAGAAAGAGCACATGTTGAAAACACACACAGAGGGAAGCAACACATTAACACTCCCCTGACGTTTTGTGCAACCCCTGAGGTAAGAAGGGCAAAGTGAAGGAAATAAGGATGACTTATGTAGGAAAGGTGCCCCAGGGTTGATTCTCCAGGAAGCAGGTGCTGAAAGACAATTGGGAACAAAAAAGGGTTAATGGAGAGAACCCTGTGAGGAGAAAAAAATTGGGCAGAATTGCCAATCTGACAACACTGGTCCCACAGAAAGCTCAGGGGCCAGGATGGTCAGTGGAGGGCTGTAGTGCTGGGGGAGGGACGAGGCTCTTCCATCACTGCACTGCCCAGCCATGGTAGGCTGCTCTGAGAAGGGGGTGCCCTTGGCTCCAAAGCTGAGGCAGTTGCTGAAGGGACTAACAGCTTTCTTTAGCTACACTCCTGACAGATGGGCAACAAGTCTGTTCTTGAAGGGGCATCTGAGCTCAACTTTATTATTTTTTAACACATCTATCCCCTTTAACCATCCACCTTACAAATTTCCAGCCTGTTCTCTAGCACTAAGGAAAAGAATAAGAAATAATAGGAAGACAAGAGTGGTTTTAAAATATACTTTGGAGCTTTAAGAACAACCTGAAATGTTCCCAAATGTAAGGGGGTTGGGGAGAGCAAAGAACAGAAACCTCCCATCTCATCTCTACTACTCCCATAATTCATATGCTAATTATCCACAACACCTTGAAACTGGAAGAATGAGCACACTCAAGAAAATGAAAACATAAATTAAAACTCATGAAAGGCTTCCAAGGTAACTTATCTACCAAATTAGCTTGTGACACTGCAACTGTCCTAGCAAGTAAGTGGCTGCTGGAATCTGATAAGGAACAGGTAGGTGGCTTCGGGAAGTGGTGGAGCAGCCTAGCTCCTCCTACTGGGGGAGGGGCAGTGGCAGAGGAGGGGCAGCAGCAGTCCCCCCACACCCGGTTAGGAAGTACTGTCACAGTTCACAGCACGCTGCAGTAGCCAGAGACCCCACAGAGGTGCCCCTCTGCCCCAAGCTGGGTGAGCTGCTTAACTCGCTACATGAAGGCCTTTCCGTGTCCAGCCTCACTCCTATCCAAAACAATACGGCATGTAAAATATAAAACAAAAATTAGAATTTTTTCCCTGACCAACAAAACAAAACACACACAAAAACATGCCCCTTTCTACTGGAAAAAAATGCCACTTCCCATATTCCCCCTTATTCTTTCCCCTTACCATTTCTCATCTCCCACTGGCTATCTTCCCTTATTGATTTTCTCATATATATATTTTAAATATATCTTTATTGATTTCAGAGAAAGGAAAGGAGAGGGAGAGAGAGAGATAGAAACATCAATGATGAGAGAGTCATTGATCGAGCCCACAATCCGGGCATGTGCCCTAACCGGGAATCGAACCCCGATTGCCTGGATCCTAGGTCGACGCTCAACCGCTGAGCCACGCCCGGCCAGGCGATTTTCTCATATTTTCAGGCGATTTTCTCATTTTTAATTTCTACTCAGTCCTAAAAATTACCAGAGTAAAAAACCAAACCAAACCAACCAAACAAAAACACCACCAATTCCTTGAGTTTGGCTGCATTAATTTTCACATTTGAATTAAACACAGCATTTCAAATACAGATGTTCTCTATACAACATCTGGACAGACTGTAAGCCTAGGTTCTGCTTCAGAACAACTGAATTATAAAGGCTGCAAAAGATTATTTACATTACTATTTTTCTCCCAAACAAAATAAATACGCTTGGATCCATAAAACAATTTACTTCCTTTCTAAATCTTCTCAAAGTGTAATTAGCAAGCCCAAAGAAAGGGGCTCCCACTTTTGTAATACCCAGTTTTGAACAATTCTCCCCATTCAACTATTTCAGTCCACAAAACCATCAACCCCCCCAGGGCACATCTGCTACCCTGGCCCTGAGCACAGGTGCCAACGAAAACGAACAGGGATGGGCGCAGGTGCAGTTCCTCTGTAATGAATGCCCAGCATCAATTCTCACAGCCCTTCATTTTCACCTCCTTGATTAGGTAACCAGATCATCACTCATATTCCCAGAGGTGACAGAGGCATTCTGAAACAGGTTTTCATGCCAAAAGAAGCCCTACAAAACATTTCACACGTAAGTGTATTAACTTAATGAATGTGATTTCACGAAAAGTCTTTAAAAGAAGTCTTCCTCACCCTTCACACTTGTGTTAGGCCTTCTCAGTTTCCCCAAAGTGAGAAACCACAATGTGAAGTCAACTTACTGGGCTACTTGAGGGCAGAGACCATCTGCCCTGGAACCTTGTCTTCCCAGCATCAGACATTCAAATGAGCCACGGTTTACTGATATTTCACTCACAGAACCCTTGTGCTGACTCCACGTTATTTTATAATAGAAATTACATCATTAGTACATCCAGGATTCTACCCTTATATGTCACTGGATGTTGTCAAGATATTTTATTGGTCAGAATGAATATACTTCTCTGGTTCCTTGAGTTTTGACCTTTTAAGGTGTACACTAGCCTGAGAGTCTGCTGCCAGGCTCCTGACCCATACCACATCCAATGACCTTTTGCTACATCCAACTTAAATTCAAGTCAGTTTTGAAAAATCCTTCTGAAATACAAATTAAGGTTAAGATTCTGAGACCAGGCGATCTGGCTACTGTTTCTAGCTGTAATGCTGTGTGACCCAGCTAAGTAACACACAGTAAGATAGGAAAGCCTCTCTATCCCTAAGTAATGAAAGTTCTCACCTACTTCATAAAGGTTTTGTAAAAATAGCAGATATATATATATATAAAATATACATATAGAAGATATCAACAAACTACTCAACTCAGAAGAAATCAAGTAAGTTGTAAATTGTTAAAATCAAGCCAAAGAAATTCAAGATGGGAATGAAACTACCTTTTTTTCACTTAGAAATAACTGCTAGTCCTAGTATAACATGTGATTACTAGTGTCTGTGATTTCTACACAACTAGACATCTGACAATCCTCTCTGAGTAGACACATCTTTCTGAAAATCAGAATACATTTCACTTACCTAAAAGGAAGCTGAAGATTTAAAATGCAATCAAATTTATTCACAATTTCAAAAGGTTAAAAAATGTAGTAAGGGAACTCTTACTGATAGTAAAATACAGCCCTCAGACCTAACTGAGGAGTGCAGGCTGGAGGGACTGGGATGCACCAGGCATCCCTTAGCACAAGGGCTTCTGAAGCTTCCGGGCAAAGCAATCACCTTGCACAGACATCATAAAAACTCATGAAATTACTCACCTCAGGAGCACTGATGTGAGTTAAAAAGTACTAAATGTTACTCTTGAAAATACTGTCAAATGAGGATTTAAAGGCCACAACATGATTCACTCTAAGGTGATAATAAACCTTCTTATTAATATACTATTGTTACCACTGTTGTACTAAGTCAAATGAGAATGTTATAGAAAGTGGGAAAATGGTAAAGTATCAATGTCTCCCTTACTTCAGGCATTCAACAGAAATCCATGGGACATCTGGTATATGTGAAAATACTGTGCTTAGATTCCCGTGGGAGTTACAAAAAGAAGACAAGCCACCATTTCCTCTCAAGGAGATGAGCCCAGTAAGAGCCAAAGACACAAACAGAGAATGCCAACAGAGGACAGACCTGTGATACAAGCAAGAAGCTTTAACAGTTCAGGAGAGAATGAGGTGGCTTCCAACTAGCAAGGAGGAAGCGTTTGAGCT